GGGAGTACAGTGTTGGAAGCACTGGGATACTGTATAACAACCAAAAAATGTTGTTTTTTGCCAGTTTCAATCTTGCTGCATACTATCCAAGACACGTGGAAAACACTTTTTCATTAGTATCACTGAAGTCAGAATTTGGCCCATATTTCCCCTCTTGCAAGTCTCCCTCCCTCCAGAAAGTGAGTTGGATAAGACTTTCTAGCCGCTCCATCCCCGGGCCATAATTTAATATACGTGATGTATCTGACTCAGAAAGTGACCCAGGAGGTTCCCTTAGTTATTTTAAATCAGTATTTTGATTCGCCTAAAGGGACAATATCAATGTTAAAAATAATATTTCTGATGTTGTATTATAAACTTTATTGAACAGACAAGGAGTAAATTGAGCATGTAGGAGGATAAAAAAAGATCTGGGCCTTCTCTCAAATGAGAATTCTGCTTCTTTTTTTTTTTTTTTTTTAAATAGGACCAGGATTGAGTCTGTTCCCTTTGATTTCATCCCAGCAGTGCAGTGCTGAGAATAAACTAATTCAGAAGTATAATACACTAAGTAATAACTAGCACATTTAAAATATACCCCTGTCTAGTAGCTGGTTGTACTCTTTTGACGTATATAAATAAATTGTACAATTTATTTAGGTGTAATGCCGGAGATTCCAAATTATCTGTCTATTTGACCTGTTGGTTTGGGCAATACTTGTTTGTCACGAAAATGTTGTACATGTTAGCTAGGTATTTTAGGGAATTTTATGGCGGGGGGGTTAAGAAAATAGGATAATTGGAAAAGCAATTCATTTTATTATATACCATAGGATATGATTATGATGTAGTCTTAGAGGAAACCCAGGAATAACTTCCTCCATTTTTTTTCTGCTTTTTTTTTTAAATTTTATTACCAAGAAGATTGTTTAACAGAAAATTTTAAGAACCTTGAGCCAGTAAGGCAGCATCAATAATAATGCCTGTAAACTTTACATAAAAACTGATCCAATAAAATGGAGCCTATTTGATGAGAAATGCTGAAGTCTGAATGTTGTGTGGGTTCCAAATTTGGTCTTGTTGTTGGATGAAGTAGTGCTTTAATTCCTACCCTTACTCCTGACTTTTTGTAAGGAAAAATTTGTGTTTTGGATTGAGTCCTTTTTCTTGGTTGGTTATGGCTAAATGGAACAGTTTCATTGCCACAGGAGAAATATCACAATTCAGGGTCTTTCTGATACTTTTTCTGGGTGATTTTCTTTTCTCTCATGTGGGGTTTTTTATTTATTTTATTTTTTTAAACCCCATGCAGATTTGGGCTGTTCCGTTTTTGAGATTCTTTCTATAAAATCATTGCTCCATTTGCATGGCCTGTGGCATAGGTCCCTGAACTTCCTGGGCTCCATAGTAATGGAGGCTCCAGCCTATTCCAAGGGTTTACTTTCCTATTGGAAAAAAGCCGCATAAGAACTTGTGTGGCTGCCTTGTCCTGTTCCTCTTCCACTCTCTGACTTATTCCGTTGCCAGGTATGATGTCGGTACAGAACAGACTACACCAGCATTTTACCAGTGCATGTGATTTCTTCTTGAAATCACTGCTAGCTGGGGTTTTAAATGGGTAGCGCAGCTCAACATGTCTTCCTGGTTCACTGCTCTGAAAATGGATTTCAGCCAAGAGAGGCAGGCACTAGGCAGAATATTTCTTCCTCCAAAAAAGAATGGAAGTGGGATGGGGAGGCAATTTCTTTTCTGTCCCAACACCAATGCAGGGAATGGGATCTCACAAAGATTAGTGATGGGAGTGGGGAGACAGAGATCCCCAAACTGTAGGTGTTCTCCTCTACCCAAGTTTCTTTCACCCCCGTCCCCCTCCCCCCTTTTTTTTTTTTTTTTTAAATACTGCAGGGCCCAGCCCGCTTTCCATGGTAAAGCCATACAAGGAAGTTACTCTAGCCCTGTGGATGTTGTCTTTCATATTTTCTTACATAGGTGTGCGGGAACAATGAGAATTGGGAGAGTTGTGCCTGTGAATGGTGAGTAGGAGTGTTGAGGAATTGGGTGCTCCTTGTTATTTAGGTTTGTAGTAAAAGAAAGTGTCTTTCCCAAAGTTCAGTCACCCCCACAAGCAGCATCTGCAGAGTGCTGGTTCATGTTAATTGATTTGCCCTTGAACCCTGATCGTGACTGGGCTAGTTTTGTGGTTCCCCAGGAACTCTGGTACTAACTGTAAGGATTTTGAGGAGAAAAAACAGTAAAGACTTCTTCTTTTTTTTTTTTTTGTCAAAAATGTAACCAAAAAGTCTCATGGAGTTTAATTTGCAGATGGTTGAGTAAGTAATAATGCTTTAATGAGCTTCAGAGTGGAACAACGTGAGATCACGGGTAAGGTTAAGCCATGTGACTTAATGGAAGCTGGTGAGAGGATTAGCTGCTTACTTCTGGTTGTCTACAGGCTCTGATGGTAAGCAGCAGTTGCTGGCTAAGGGAGAGCTGTCAGTCGGATCCCAGTAACCTCTGTCTCACCTTTTTGTTGTTTTCGCTTACCAGTCTCTCTCTGAACAGTGTCTCCCTGATGTCCTCTGTGTACATTTTCATATTTCTGCTTGGGGTTGGAGATGCAGGGATAAGTGCAAGAAATGACAGTATGATCCTTTCATTGTATAGATACCCATTTATATAACTATATACAGTAACTCCCTTAGAAAAAACTCCACTTAACTTTAGAGTGAAGTTGGCTAAACTATATAGCCCGCCAACTCAAACTGTTAAAAAGCAAGGAAACAGTTAAGTTATTCACCACTTCGTGTACACTCTATCAATCAGTTCTCCTTCTCAGTCTCTGCTGCCTTCCTTTTACCACGCAGAGCCTGAGCATCTTCACCTACATCACAAACAGCTAATGGGTATCCTCACACTGTAGCTGTGTGTCTTGATTATTTGTTTAGGCTTGGTGTGGCCTCCCTAAATTATGCTGTATGCAGATCTATGTGGTTTTGTGTTGGTAATAAGCAAAATTTAGTGCCATATTGCAAATGGTGGCTGCAATGTTTGTTTTTTTTCCCCTGTAGTATTTAGGGAAGATTTCCTCAATGGTATCTGGTGTTAGTATTTGTTTTTAAAATTTGTTACTTATTTTTATGTAGAAATTTCAGAATTGAAATGTGTTTGTTTTTATATATATAGCATGTTCAGCTGGGGCGTGTGCAGGAATAAAAATTGACTCCTTTTGGGGTGACAAGTTCTGTGTTTTCCCCCCTGCAGCCCTAGGGCCGGAGGAGCTCCCCACCCATGCTCAACCCCTCATGCGGTACCAGTGACCCCCTCTTGACCAATCTTTGTTGCCTGCTCTGCTCACTGCCACACTACTATTGGTTAGGAGGATTGTCACTCCGTATCATCTCAGCAGAAAATTGATGGAGGCAGAGAAGAGGGTGGGGTGGGTGAGCTCTGGAGAATGCAGGCTCCTGACAGAGGGGAGGGATCTGGCTGCCCAGTGCTGTAGCTCAGAGCTCTGCGTGGGCATGCACTGCAGTACAAAACATGGGGGGCAGGAGTCTTTCCCACCCCTCCCCCCCTAGCCCCGGGGTTGGAGCGGCTTTCTCTCCCCTTGGGGCCAGAGGAGTTCTGTGCCCCAACCTATTACAGGGATGGAGAGGCTGTGCCCCTGCTTGCCCCAGCTTGTGCATGCCCCTGATGCTCAGTGTTAAGCATGCAGTACAACGTGTTACATGGACATTGGACTTGACCTTCACAGCATCACTGATCCTTTACAGCTCCATTTTCTCCTCCATAGTGTGCGTGCACACACTTGCACAGCTCTTTTGCTGATCAGCCTGCTTCCTTGTCTTCACAGGATGTCTGGTGAATCACGGATGGTTGTTGACAGTGAGAGAGAATGGCAGTAGCTAGCAGAACTTGGCTGTTTCATTGCAGAATCTTGGCGTAACTCAATTATTTTAACCTAAATAAAGGGAATAATTGTTTGTGGTTTAATTTGAAAATGTCATAAGTGGCTTATTTCAAATACACTGCCTGTATGTATGAGGTTCAGAGAGAGAAATTTGGAATTTGTGGTGACTGATTGTTTAACTAGAGGAACCAAAAAAAATGCACATTTCAAAAAGGGAGCACTTCAAATTGTTTCCTCTGCAAAATTTAATAAATATATTTGCAAACAATATAATGCATAGAAATTCATTTTTTCTTGAAAATTTGTTATTTCATATTTGGAGACTAAGTAGGATTGATATGTGGCTGAGGGAATTTTTAAACCTGCTCTAATTAAAAATTTCAGTGCAGTCTTGATTATAGAGTTGCTACTGATATCTCTGTAATATGCAAACAATCAAAAAATATTTTTCCCGCATTTAAGAGAGTCTCTACAGCCTACCACTTATGTTGGCAAAAGTTATGTCGCTCAGGGGTATGCGGGGAAAAAAACATTCCTGAGTGACATAAGGTTCGCTGGCATAAGTGGTAGTGTACCCAGTGGTATGTCAGAAGCTCTCCCACCGATGTAGCTACTGCTGCTCGTTTGGAGTGGTTTAATTATGTTGATGGGAGAGCTCTTGCCTGTCAGCATAGAGCAGCTGAGAGAGATCTTACAGTGGCACAGCTACATTGGTATAGCTGTGTTGCTGTAATGTCTCTAGTGTAGACATAGCCTAAATAGAAATCTTGGCAACTTTATGACAGTGTTTAGATGGAAAACATTCCCCTGAAACACTGGCAACCCAAAAGAAAAAATAGTAGTGAAACTGGCCAGTGTACACCATTTTCATTGTCCTTACTTTGCAACATTCACAGAAAGGAAACAAATGTTTTTTATGTGGGTTTCAGATTTATCAGTTCTAATAACTCTGTTTCATGGAATGTGTTTTTAATATGACTGTGTCCCATTAAGAAATTACTAGAGGATATGCCTGCTGCTTTAGCATTTCGTCCTGAGTTTGACATTTGATCAGTATTGCTGTCACAGCTTGTGTTGCGTTTATTTACGTGATAAATCTTTTTTTTCCCAGATCATTCAACGTCAAGTGGTACTTCCTTGTTTAAGCCCAGCCGATCACTGGTCTCTATTCCCACTGCCCATGTGATGCCGTCTAATGCCAGCTCTTCACTTTCCAAACACAGGGAAGCTCTGAAGTCTGACTGCTCACAATGGAGTACAAACCTTTTACGGTCAGGAGGAAGTCGAAATCTGGACATAGTGGACAATTCTCTTGACATGAAGGATGTGAGGCCTGTAAGGAAATGGTCGTCCTTGTCTAAACTCGGCACACCAGATAGCTGCAGTCAGGATGAAAGTGTCCTTTCAGGGGACTCCAGGTCTAGTACTGACAGATCGGGGAGAGACAAGACCATGTCACCACAATTAAGAACAAATGGGCCAAGTTGTTTGCATAATAGCATGGAGTTGCTAAAAGTTGAGGACAAAGAAACTGGGAAAAAACGATCTTCTACGTTGGATTGCAAATACAAATTTGAAAGTTGCAGCAAAGAAGACTTTGGTGTTTCAGACACCTCAAATAGGAGACATGTCTTTGACATGACCTACAGTGCCTTACCTGAAAGCAAGCCCAACTCAGCCAGCTGTGAGGCTTTTGGGCATCGATATGCAACGCTGGGACAGCAGGCTATGAACGGAGTACCCATTCAGCCTTCAGTGAGGACTCAGATGTGGCTTACAGAACAGTTGCATGCAAATCCTCTGGACTGTAGGACTGCTGAGGAGACATACGGTTTGGCGGCTTGGCAGCTGCAGCAGCTTGAAGATCTTACAACGGGAAATGAGCACCCGATGCAGGTAAGAATAGAAATTTGGTGTTTGCTGCCATCAGGTGGGCAGCAAGAGACACCGCATCCGGCATGTTTTTATTAAGTGTTTCAGGTGGGGAAAGTATTCTTATCTCATCTCATCCAGTGCTATTGTTGGTTTTTAAACTTTTAAGCTGTTTGTATAATTTAATGAAAAACTGACTGCACTAGAGCTTCATCATTATCTGAGTGCCAGCAAAGTGTGCTCCAGTTAATTTACAGCTCCTGGCAGTTAATTATACCAGACAATTTACCCAATCTATATGAGAGCAGCATCTATACTTCCTGCAACTGTGTAATATATAGGGTATATCTAGTCACATTTTTGTGTCATTTTAAAAGAACCTTCAGTTGAAATGGTGTGATGTATGCTTGAATGGACTTTATAATCTGAATTGATTTATAAGGAAGCGCCGTTTCTTTTTTACTTGAAACAGATTCATAGTAGACAATGACCCTCACATACTGCAAGGTTAGTTACTTCATAAATGTTCCTAATAGCCTCATTTATAAACCACACTCTGATTATTAGTGTTGACATGTTATAACTTCTGTTTTTCTAAAAAAATCTAAGCATTCAAGATTGTCCCCCTCTATTTTGTATGAAGGTAAAATTTAACATGGTTTAACAAAAATAAAGCATTACATATATTACAATTATTATTTCAAAACATATCCATTTATATGCATGTCTGTTTGCAAATACTGCCATCAACACAGCTCAGAATAATTTGTGTTCAAGGGCAGAACAAGGACAGGGAAAACAAACAGTTTTTATCACTTTGGGTAAGCTCAGTGATGCTTCTGCTTTTCTAATTTTCAAGATTGTAACAAATCTAAGACACACGATTTTGTTTAAAACCTTTTTTATATTGTCTTTAAAATTTTTTTGGAGTCCATTTCTCTCCAACTGTTTAAAAATTCAGTTCCCTTTGTCAGGCTGTAACTTTAGGGGAAGTGTTCCGAACTGTCATGCAGGAGACCAGCATTCGACTGCTGAGCTAATAGCCCTGGTCTAAACTACAAATTTATGTTGGGCTTCTCCCATCGGCATATTTACCAAGAGGTGGAGTACCTAAGGCGACGGGAGAAGCTCTCCCATCAGCATAGGTACTGTCTTCACTAAGCACTACAGCCATGCAGATGCACTGCTCTAAGTGTAGGCAAGTCCTTACTCTGACATTTGTGGCTAGCATAGGGTGGGAATGCTGAGGAACTGTGCACAATTGTTTGGAGTACAGTGGGAGCATTGCTTAACAACAGCAGAAGCATTTATGCAGCTGATTAATGAGTGATGTCTATAGATCACATTTCAAAGCCTACCTGTTCTCCTTCAAGTGAGAGGTTGGGGTTGTGGCTCACATGAGGAACACTTGAAGAATGGGGAAATGTGCGTAGGGGAGCGTTTGCAATGGCTCAAAGCCTTTTAGAAGCAATGTAGCAATGTTTGAAGGAGGGAGAACAGTTTCCTTCTTTTAACGCTTCAATGAGAACTTGGTTCTGTTTTTAAAATCATCTTATTGCAACAACCTTAAAATGTTTCTGCAATAAAATTTATTTATTCGTAATGCTTTTTACATATTGAATACTGTCCAAACAGCAGAATCTCCTGAAATTGATTTGCTACCATTTCTGAAAAATTAAAAATCTTATAAAGTTACTTTTATTTAAAAAAATAGTAAAGCAGTGATACTGTGTACAATACAATAACAGGATGATAAACTTTATTTTCCTTTTCAGAGTAAGGAATTTCATTTCATGACATTAGAGATCATTTTTGCTGATGGTGACAATCTTTTAACAGTGGAATAAGAAATGTGCCATCTGCTTGAAAGTATGTGTACTGATTGAAATGCAGTGATTTTCAGAACAGGCAGAGAGAACCCACATATGCTGTTTCTACACTAAAGAATACACAAAATTATAACCAAATTTATCTTTGACTAAGAATGTAGATAGAACAATGATAACTTGCCCTGAACATTACATCAGAAAGTATGTGCAGAAAAGTTGGCCGATTAAACGCATTCTGTACTCAATTTCAGGCTATGTGGAAAGCATCTTTATATTGAAACTGTAAAAAAATAAAATAGAAAAAGAGTGAAGTGGATCAACAGATTATATCTTCTTCAAAGGAGATGCATATTGCTTTGAAGAGATTACAAGATATTCACCTGAAGCTATAATATCTACACATGTGTTGTGTTGTGAAACAAATTTCAGGGGAGGTTACTAGTTTCTAAGCGTTTCTCTGATATTCTGTAACATCATGGGAGTGTTCTTGAGGTTGCGTTCACCAACATGTGCTGTTTTGAGGGCATGGCTGTCATCAAATCCTTTAATCTAAGGTGTAAACAGACCTTCAAGAAGCAGATATTTTTTTAAACATAAGGTTGTTTTCTTAGTGAACTAGAAAGATCCACACACTATTCTCCTGCCATCAGGCATTACGCTTCGTTATTCTCTACTTATGCCTAATGTTCCAGCACACAGAAATCCCACTTTTTAGGTAACTTTTTCCCCTGGAAAGTGCTGCAGGATTAGGCACTTGTTAGGGCAAAATTTTAGCCTCAGATGCACGACCAAGGCTCCCATTGATTTAATTGGAAACCAGGCATAAAATTTGGAGTGGAGAATATGCCCCATAAAGCTGTGAAAGGTTTGACCACGAGTATTTGTGAATAGTAGTTTCTCAAACCTTGATACTGTTGATATAGAGCTGAATGCTGTACAGCAGCACTAGAAATAAGATTTAAAATGAAAATACTTTCTCTTGAAAACTGCAGGAGACCATACAGTAAGAAATGTTTCAGAAGGTTGCAAACCTGTGTATTAGTACTATGTACTAGGTGTCTTTGGAAGAATTATACCTTCCTTCTCTTTTAATATACAGTATGTTTGTATACTTGGTTTGAAGAGGCTTCTTTAGACTACCCTGACTTGCATCTGACTCTAGTATTGATATAATAGGTGGAAGCCATGGTGGCTTTATCAAGGGTTCATGGGTTGAGTTGGACCCACAGAAATCTTGAAACCAAGGATGCAGAAACATCCTGCAGGAATAACTGGAGGAGCCATGTTTGCTCCTTTGCACAAGAAACCACATGCAGCTCCATAGGCTGAGTCCTGCATCATGGTGCTACCATTCCTGGCCACATCACTGCATGACGAGGTCAGAGCTACAGAGGCCCAAAGGGAACTCTGGGGTGGGGTTGGTTCTCTAGGCACTTTGTGGGGCAGGGTTGGGTGCTGGCTCATGCTGGCTTTCTCCCCATTCTGAGCAGCTGGGTTTGGATGATGAGTGGAGCCCCCTCCCCCACCATTTCTTGGGCGGGGTCTCACTGCCTTGAGTAAACTGGGACTGGCCTCAGGGTAGCTGTGTGCAGTGAAGCTGGCCCTATGCTGAGGCCAGGCCTATGTCCTCACCACACACCCAACAGCCACCCCCAGCGCTCTCATTGTATCATGCTCTCTTTGTGTTTATTTTTTTGTTTTGTTTCATACCGCAATTACACTTGAGTTTAGTAATTCATCTGGGAGGCTACATCTGTGCTGGATGGAAGTTACTTAGTAGTCTGGCTTTCCCCTTAATTTGTCTGTTTGCAGTCTTCCATTAACGAGGTGCTTAGCCCATATCTCTGTTTAAAGTATGCATAGGTTAATATTAGAGCTGTTTGGGAAATGAATTTTCATCTTTTGGAAAATTTAGACAATTCAGAATTGATTTGCATTCCAAATCAGAATGGAAAGTCAAAATATCAAAACATTTTGCAAATCAAAATATTTCAACTTGTGAATTGGAAGTATTCAACTAAATGTCTATATTTATGAGCAAAACAATCTGACATGTTGAAACGACACCACCACTCTCTTCCGATGGACATTTTGAAATGAGAAAAGTAGTTTCATTTTGAAATGTCAACTCATAATATTTTTACCGTGGTCCCATCTGTTCAAAAAATTGAAGTCTTTTCTCAAATTCAACATTTCTCCACAGAAAATTTTCAATTTTAATTAAATGGTATTTTCAGAGAGAATTTCTCGTACTAAAAAGTTCAGTCTCTTTTAGTTTAATCAGCATTCATTGTTGTACCTCACTGAAGTTGCTTTTTATATACTGTTCATTGCGAAGTAGGTAGTCTTGGGATTTGACAACTAGGGATTCATCTTAATACAATAAATGGTTTTGAATACGTGCTGATGGCTGATGTGCAAATCCAATCCTGACCATTTTTGATTATTAAAAATATGATGCCTCTGTTTGCTGCAGAAGACATGTTACTCCCAGTAGCTCATATACATTTATATTCTGTCTTTTAAAGATGTATGTTTTACTATCTGTCTCAAACTTGTGTAGTGTCACTGTTTAGTTGATAAACGGTTGTTGCATTCTTCCCCAGAGGTAGCTACACATTAGCGCAGGATGGTGAGATTCTTGTATGCTTTGTTTGTAAAGTGATTTGGGATAAAAAGTGAAATATAAATACAACCCACAGAGTCACTGTTTTTTGTTTTTGTTTTTTTTCCTCTCCAAATTGTCTGTCTTGGTAGCTGTAGTTTATATATACACAGTACATTCTAAAGCGATCTATGCAGCATACCTGTGAATAGGCATGTTATTAGAAAATTATAGCATGGTGGTTCCTTTTGACTGCAGTGGGCTTTTTGTTTGGATTTGGTATACTTCATGTTATCGTAATGTGCCTGCACAGTGAGACTCTAAAAGGGTTAATTGAAACATTAAACGAGCCCATTGCTATAATTTAGATCTCTTGTATATGAATGTACAGACATTTTATAACAGCAGAATATCCTCCAAAATATCAAACAAAATGTGATAAAGTGCTTATAATGAAGTAGCTGGGTAACTTTTTCTCTTTGAAACATATATTGACAATCAATACAGAAATTGACAATAGAGTATCAACATAGAATAGCTATTGACTTTACAGCTTGTTGCTATAGATGTCTTTTTTTGATTTTTGGAAAGGCTGTTTAAATATCTATTGCACATACGTCATTTGTAGACAAGTGTGAAAAGCTTTAATTGTAAGTATCCAGGCCGTCCCATCTACTATGGCATGAAACTTTCAGAAAACTTCAGAGAGACTGAAGTAGAGTATGGAGACTTGATAGTGTTTTTTCTATTTTATATTACCTTGTTGTTGCTCAAAATTTTAAGCTTAACAGCTGATGGTTGGTGAAATTCTTTCAATACTGATGCATAATAGATCTGCTTGCTGGTTTTTTGTTTTTGTTTTTTCAAATGCTGCAGTGGATGGTACGCCTTTTAAAAAGCTGCGGTTAATATTGTTTTATATTTGAACATGCATGACAAATCCTGTAACCAGCTGGTGGGGTTTGCTTTTGAATAGCCACAACAGCATTTTTGTTTTTCTTTTCTGTATGTAATCTGATACTTGCCATCATTCAGCTTCAGGCGTCTCTCTTGTCCTTTTTCAGGCCTGTGTTTCAGTTTTCTTCAGAGAGGCCTCTCTATGAAGATTTCATCTTTTGTTATTTCTGTTATCCTCTTTGCAGAACTTGTACTCCTAGGAGACTGCCACCTTTGATTCTTAGTTGTTTAAATACAAGTAATCAGTTTATTATACCAGTGGCAAGAGAACTGTGTATTCTTAGATACAGTGTCCTTTTGTAGCTAGCATGGAACTATACACTTTTCTTAGCCTTTGGCAAGTATGTTGATTGTTTTGCTTTTAAGCTATTTTGCTGTAGAGTAGATACATGAGCATGTAATAGTCTTACAGTTTATAGACCCTTCTCTAACTTATGCAGTCTTTACATCTTCTGTTCAGATAGTTTGAAGTGTTAAGTTATCATTGCAAAAACAGAACCTCAAGGAGATTCACATGAGTTTAACAAGGATAAACATGAGCACCAGAACCATAACAATAAGCAGGAAATTAAGTAGCAAGTTGAGGCCTCTGTTGTTAGCAAGATCCATACTCTGCACTAGTCTGACCTCTTGTGCTTGCAGCTGAATTCTTGATTGTAGCTTCTGCCGGTTCAGTTGCAGTAGTAAGAAATTGGGATTCGCATGTATTTCATCCTGTTCTTAGTTTTCTACCTGTCCTCAGTTTTTGCCACCTAAGAGAAAATTGTTTGTTCACAATAACTAATAACTTATACTCTTATGACTGGTAACGTTAATCCTCTACTTTCTGCGAAGAGCAGCTAGTTTGGAAAGATAACTTGTTTGACTTACTGATATCTCCTATTTTGCTACTGCTCATCTAAGGAACAGACCCATAGTAAAAGAAATGGGGATTATGTAGCAATTTTATTTAAAAACAAAAAATGTGTGTGGTGCTGTCCAGGCAAAGCTCTTGTCAAGGTCATTTATGGAATGTATGGGTAATAGTAATGGGGCTGTAACTTCCTTTAAGGCCCATTATATTTAAAAAAACTGGAAGCTTAAAACTTTTTGGAAGAACACTAAAGTTTCAAAAAGTGTAAAATTTCCTAACGTGGGTCAAATGCATCTTTGCAAATAGGGAAATTTCCTGCCCTTCTAAGGTTTTCAGCATTGTGTGGCACAGCGAGCAACATCCTCTTATTTTTGCCAGCAATGTGTTATATAAGATTTATTGCAGCCTTGTAAAAGCCTTATTAAGAGCCTCGTTTGAGTTGGCACAGGCTACATCTTTACTGCTTTTAATAAACATATACGCAATAGTTTATTTAAAAATGTAATAACTTAGCAATTGTAAAAACAAAACATTAAACAAATAGGACTGCTCAATGCTATGTACTAAATCGGGGTGGGCAAACTTTTTGGCCCAAAGGCCACATCTGGGTATGTAAATTGTATGGTGGGACATGAATGCCCACAAAATTGGTGGCTTGGGTGTGGGATGGGATGAGGGCTCCAGCTGGGGGTGCGGGCTCTGGGGTGGGGTCAGGAATGAGGAGTTCAGTGTGCAGGAGGGGGCTCCAGACTGAGGCAGGGGGGTTGGGATGCAGGGGGGCATGTGAGGGCTCTGGCTGGGCATGTGGGCTCTGGGGTGGGGCCTGGGCTGAGGGGCTGGAAGTCCAGAAGGGTGCTCTGGGCTGGGACTGAGGGGTTCAGCGGGCAGGAGGGGGGATTAGGGCTGGGGCAGGGGATTGGGGCACAGGAGGGGGTCAGAGGTGCAGGCTCTGGAAAGTGCTTACCTCAAGCAGCTCCCAGAAGCCATGACATGTCCCGCCTCCGGCTCTGTGCGGTGCCCTGTCTGCAGGCACTGTCCCACAACTCCCGTTGGCTGGGGTACCTGGCCAATGGGAGCTGCGGGGGCAGTGCTTGGGGCAGGGCCAGTGTGCGGAGCTCCCTGGCTTCCCCTACACGTAGGAGCTGGAGTGGGGCATGCTGCTGCTTCTGGGAGCCACGCAGAGTGGGGCAAGCCCCTGACCCCGCTCCCCGGCGGGAGCTTGAGGGCCGGATTAAAACTTCTGGAGGGCCGGATGCAGCCCCTGGGCTGTAGTTTGCCCACCTCTGTACTAAATGCTGTTAAAACTTCATTTAGATGGCAAGCCATTTGGGGGTGGGCGGGGGATTGCTTATGGCTGTCAAATACATAAAGCCTAGTACCTTTTTGGCATTTTCGTACCTTTTAAAAAATAGTGATCTGATTTTTATAAAATAAAGTATGTGTAAGAATTATGGTCCAGATATTAAAAAGAAATATTTGAGCCTTGTTTAAACCATTACAAATACTTTAGGTGATTGTTTAATGAGAATACTGATCTTGACAAAAGTCTCTATACGTATGCCATCATACTTCATTTTTGCACTGTGGGCATAAAAATAATGTTGCCGTACCTCCTCCTGCTCCCAAGAAATGCATTTTAATTTACTGGTTTTAATGACAAGCTTTTCATTTATTTATTTATATAGAGAGAGTGTTCCACTACTACCTACAGCATTGCTAAAGTATGACATCTTTAAAAACGTGAAACTCCATTACAAACTTCAGGGGTGGGGCAGACTGAAGATACAAAACGCTACATAGAAATATGGTTATCCATGTTTTTCAGACCATTTACAAACATTTTCTGACTTAAGAGCTAGTCTCGTAAGTACTATTTAGTGAGAATATGAATATCAGAATCTGGCACCAACATGCCACAGGCCGAATTCAGTGTGTGTGTGTAAATAGCTATGTGCATATTGGTGCATCCACAAGTAGGTGGAGCCTGGCTTACACCAGACACCCATGCACTGTGGATTATTCTGCATTGTGAGACAGTGGTGGTTATGCACCTTTGCAAGAACAGTGTCATTTAGTCCTTTTCCACATTAGGTTCTCCCCCCCAAGATTTCCCATTGTTGGCTCCCCTAGTGGCAACAGCAGCCACTGGCAGAACTAGCCTAGAAAAGGTGAAAGTACTGGTGCCCTTTTTAACTATCCAAGGTTTAACTGCCTCATGGTTTAGACTTGCTCTGAGCAGAACAGATAATGCTGAAATGGGTCAGATCTTCAGCGGGTGTAAAACGGTAACATCAGTTTACACCAGCTGATGATCTAGCCTAAAGGCTGTAAACAGGGAATCTTACTATATAGTTTTTTTAAAAAAGCATAATTCTGATCCTCACTAAATTCTTTCCTGGGATGGAACTTCTGCTGATTATAGTGGAGTCATGCTAGAGTTAAGAGTTACTGACTCTTGAGTTTTCATTTTTTGTTTTTGAAGGGCTGATCCAAGATTATTGCTATATATTTTTTTCTCCTTACCTATGTGTAAGATAAACTAGAAAAAAATTAGGTAGTGTGCAGTAAAGCAATGGCAATCGATTGAGTACAGAAATGAAAACTCCCAAAATCAAAAGCCACCTAAGGTATTTGGAATTCTTATCCTTATAGGGTGAACTGTAGTGCCGTTTAATTAAACTCACTAGATTGCTTGTATACCCTGAGTGAATTAAATCTACTTAAAATTCATTTAGGCATAATAAAGTAAGCAAATAGCACTACAAAGAGTAAAAAAATTTTACATTGCTTAGTTCTTTCACATGACTTTATATAAGAAGTTAGAATTAACTCTTCTAAACTGGAGTGTTTTTGAACATTCCTTGCTTTTGTATTATTTTATCTTCAAGTGTTGATTTTAATGAGTAGAAGTACAATAAAATGCTTATTTTAAAGGTCCGATAACTATACAAAGAGAGAGGTCTTATGTACCCAAATTTGAAAAAAAAGTTTTATTTATCTTTGGATTCCACTGATATTTACGGTATAAAGTATGATAGAAATGTTATCGTATTTTCTTCATATCAACAGAATCCCAAGACACACATCTATATATTATAGATTTACATTGGTTCAAAATGCTAATAGTGTTTTCAGTTTCTTAAATTCATTTTTTCTTGTTTAAGGTTTTTTGAATTTGTATGAAGAAAATTCTATTTGTACCGGGGTTTGCCTTTTAATATAAAAAACTGACTCCTCTGAAGCCTGTTATCCCAACAAAGAGTTCCCTGAATGTATGAGTTCCTCTTGAGGGCAAACTAAAACTGGAAACCCTATATCCAAAAAAATCAAAAAGACTTGTAGCTTTGGCTTTTCCCACTTCTTCTGAAGGGACATCCCAACATGTTACAGGCAGATCTTTTAAATAGTTACTGTACAGTTACTAGAATCTCCTCACGAATTTGTGGGGCAGAATTGAAAGATGTGGAATAGATCATAAGATCACTTAAACATTGTAATTATGAAGAATAGTCTTATATTCACATTAAATTGTATGTGATAGCACATCTTTGTTTTTAAATTCATTGAAATTCTACCTAGACATTTCAATAAACAATTTTTAAATAACAGTAACAGTTTTTGCAAGCAAGAATTACAAGGGTATTTGTTTCAAACTGTACTCCACTGCATTTACAGTTTCACCAAAAATAAGGCATTCATGCTTGGTTTTAACAGCGGGACTAGGCTGAGGGGACACACATGCTTTTATGTGAACCTAGTATTTATAAACGCCTTTTGATACAGGGATTCTTTTACCAGTCTTCAGTGGTGCATTCAGGATTCTGATATGTGCTTGAGATGCAAGAGGCAGTATTGACTACTGTCTTTCAAAACAAAGGAAGTTGAAGGATAGCTGAATCCATCAGTGCCTGAATTGGCCAATGTATAGAAGCTATCTTTTTATTGCCTGTAGTTACCAACTTCCTTCTATCCTTCTGCTGACCTATGTATCTATCTGCTTTATCTAGGTAGGGCATCACCTTAATATGGGTATGCTGGCTTGCACCAAACCAAATATTAGGCTAGTTCCTCATTTTGTTTGACTTCCCATATTTTCACTGTCATCAACCCTGCTCTTGTAACCTTAATTCCTGGGGCAAGTTATTTTCCCTTGATGTTTGCATGAAACTCCCTTTGACATCAAATATAAATTGCACACACAGAATACAGTAGAATAGAGCCCTTTAAATATGAATGCTTTTTGACTGATACACTAGATTCTTGTTTTTCCTTCCTTTTAAATGCTGCTGGAATAGATCTTCTGAATATTAAAGATAGGCAAAAAGTGGGGAGAGGGAACTGTAATCTAACGCATAATAATCCTTGTCAATTTCTAGTGACTTTCAGTATGAAACTGATATTTAACTTCAGTATTTCAAAGTCTTGCTGAACCAAATAGACTTCAATTGAAGGTTTTGCTCTTGAGAGATCAATAAATTCTCAAATTCACAAGTTCTCAAACTCTTTTATTGTGCGACCTGCTTCCCTTCCTATCCAGGATAATGTAGGCCACCTCCTTTGCAATCACACAGAGTCCCTTTGGAAAACTGGTACTGGGAAAATATTTGTGTATTTAGCTGTTCCTTAATGTGCTTTGACTGCTGGAAACAAGAAGAGCTAGCACTGTGTGAACTGCCAGCTCTCCGCAGACCATTAGCAAGAGCTCCATAGACTGCCATGATCCATGGACTAGTTTGGAAACCACTGATTTATTTTGTTCTTGATGCCTGCAAAATATACCTTCCCTGGGAAAAGGTATGGTATAAAATTTACAACAAAATGACAGATGGGTAGCTTTTCATTCTAGACAATCACATTAGAAACACATCCCTAGTCATCAGCTAGCTGGGAGCCAGGCCTATGTTGTGTTTTTTTGACCGATTTCTGACCATCTTGATCTCACTAGAAGGTGAATTTGGTTCAAATACTATACTGATGAGCTGCCTCAAATAGAAAGGGTTTGGATAAGCAGTGAGTTACCTTTAAAAGAAAAGCATTATTTTTTCTTGTACTGTATCCAGCTTGCGTAAGTTTGATCAGAATAATGGAAATGACCTGGCTGCAGGATAAAAAACCCAAATTTACTTTTACTTTATTATACCAAACACAGAAGCCTCTCTGACATAGATAAATGCTGAATTTCCTGTATTCAAGTTTCCTAATGTAAAGGAAATTGCATTTCTTAGTGCAAATTATGGTACATGTAAAGTGCGGTAGATAATAATTTGCTGCTAAAGCTATGTAAAACAAAAGGATCTTGAGATCTCAAGGCTAGGGTTCCCAACCCTCCTGGTTTCCCCAGGAGTCTGCTGGATTCAGGCTCTATCTCCCGGAGGCTACTGAAGCCAAACCAGGAGATTTTAGGTAGCTCAGGGGGGCTAATGCAGGTCTTTCTGCCTGCCCTGGCCCCACGCCACTCCCAGAAGCGGCTGGCATGACCCTGCAGGGGCGGGTGGGGTCTCCATGTGTGCTGCCTGTGCTCCGACTCCAAAACTCCCATTGGTCTGGAAATGTGGCCAGTGGGAGCTGTGGGGGTGGTGCCTGCAGGCAGAGGCAGTGCATGGAGCCCCCTGCTGTCCCACAGGGGCCACAGGGACGTGCTGGCCGCTTCCGGGAGTGACGCGCAGAGGTACCAGCGTACGGACCCCGTAGCCTTGCTTACCTCGGGTGGCTCCCGGTCGGTGGCGCAGCAGGGCTAAGTCAGGCTCCGCCCCCACAGCTCTCATTGGCCGCACTTCATGACCAGCGGGAGCTGCAGAGTTGGCACTCGGGTGTGGGCAGTGCGCAGAGACCCCTGCCCTCCCCCAGGGCTGCAGGGACGTGCCAGCCACTTTCAGGAGCAGCAGGGAGCCTGCCACCTGAGGTAAGTGCTGCCCGGCTGGAGTCTGCACTCCTTCCCCCCTCCCACACCCTAATCCCCTGCCCCAGGCCTGAGCCCCTTCCTGCACCCAGACTCCCTCCCCGAGTTTGCACCCTGCCCGCCCTCCTCCCCCCCTACCCCAGGCTCATCCCCAGCCCAGAGCCTGCATCCCCTCCCACATCCCAACTCCCTGCCCCAGCCCAGTGAAAGTGAGTGAGGGTGAGGGTGAGCGAGCAACAGAGAGAGTGGGGAAATGGAGTGAGCAGGATGGGGCCTCGGAGAAGGGGAGGGGCAGGGTTGTTTGGGTTTGTGTGAATAGATAATTGGCAACCCTACTCAAGGCACACTTTTTTGGCTGCTGCTTGTTTTGTTAGCCAACTGAACATGAGTGAATGCTGTTCTCTTAATAGCGTGGTTGGTTCTTGATATACCTTGAAAAGCAGATTAAAACTCTCTTTGCAAATGCCAGTTTGCTTCAATACACATCTTTTTAAAACTGAGTCACAAGTCATGTGAAAAGATATCAGACAGAAATGAAGTTTTGGTATTACTTTTCTTCCCATTAATCAGTCCTAAACCCCTTCCTCAAATAGGAAAAAAGAAAAAGACAATTTTATATCTGGGAAAAGGTTTCTTTAAAATAGCTTCTACTTCATTTTTCAGGGTTCTAGTCATAAACTATTAGAGCAAGTTAAATAATTTCAATCAACAGTGTAACATTGTAGCATCTTGAAGTGGAACAGAAAATTTTCTGGAACACGTTGAAATCTAAATGTGCCTGTGCATCATTTTGGATTGATCTGGACTTCTATAAGATATTAAAATATATATCCAAAATCTAAAAAGATTTACAGTGAAATTTTTAAAGCATGCAGGCCCAAAAGAGAGAGGTGATTGTTTTTAATATTGTAGTTGACTTGGCTGAAACACTAATTGAATAACACAATTAATGCCCTTCCTTACTTCCATGAAAAAGGCACAGATTTTCCAACATTCACATGAGATGCCTCTTAGCAAGGTGAACAAACAAGTTAGCTCATGGACAGCTTTGTACCAGTAGGTTTTAAATCACTGTTCAGTACAGAAGAGCTTTTTAACGTGTTTACAATGGCTAGTCCGAAAATGGTGCCGTGGGGTTGACGAGACTGTTTTAGTCCAACTGCTTGACCTGCTCACATGGGTGTTCTTGCCTTGGGAGTTTCTTGTTTAGTTCTTTTTTTCCCTTTTGTTCTGGCTTTCTTATAGGATAGTGCAATGGGAAGCAAAGATGCTGTGGAACTTCAGAGAAGCATCACAAGGATACAGATAAGCAAGAGGCATATTAAAATAAGACAAAAATTTATAAAGAGCTCCTGGAGCTTTTGGCGTGTGTGTGGGTTCACCTCAATAGTTGAGGCTCTCCTCATGGCAGAGCGGGTTATGTGCTGAACCTTCTCCATGGCAACAGGAAAGCAGAGAGCACAAGTCAGGTTTTAGAAGAAGTGCAGGTAAAAAACAGAAGTTGTCAGGAACAGTGCAAAGTGGTTATTATCTTCTGTTTTTGGTTTAGAGAATCTGTGTGGAGCTGGGAAAGCAGGAAAGTGAAGAGTTAGAAACACAAAAGTAAAGTGTTTTGATCAGTGCAAGTGCAGATTGTATTCGTTATAATAGTGCCTGAAAGAAAAAGTGAAGTTACTTTCCACAGTCTGCTACACATTTTCACTTACAAAAAAAAAAAAAAAAAAGGATTTTCAAGACAGATAAGACTTAGTGGAATTGCACATGCAACCTTATGAGTGAGTTATTGAGTGCCTGCAAATCCGAGGTGCAGGCCCATTATGAGATGGAACTTGTGGATGCTCAGCACTTCTCAGAATCGGTCCAGCAGGGCCTAATCTGATTCCCTTCAGAGTCCATGCAAAGCTTCCCCTTGTCTTCAGTGGGAGTTGGTTCTGGCCAATTAAGAGGCAGGATGGTCTTGTGGATAAAAGCCACAGAACATGGAGTCAGGAAATTCTGATTCTTTTTCTGGCTGTGTCACTGACTACTTATGTGACCTTGGACAAATCATTTAGCTTCTCAATGCCTCATTTTGGAGGGGGAGAGGGAAAAACTAGTCTTGTTAATGCATTTTCTTTCCAAGTAGAAAGAATTTCAAGTGTAAGCAAATGCTGTGGCAGCATCTAATATGTATCAGTGATATGGGGAATTTCTAGTAAAATTATCTTGAAGGACTGGCAGTCTGAGACATGAGACTTTTCTTCTCTGAAAGTACTAACGTACACTAAAAATTTCATGCCCAAAGGCGGAGAGATGATGCTGCAATAAATGCATGGGAAAATACAACTTTTTAATTTGTTAGTGATAGATAGTGTTGCTTGAAGTGCTTTTGATAAGAAATAAAGAGATAGGGATGCAGTGCTTTTAGGAATGCAAGGTATATTGAATTTTAAAAAAAATAACCCCCCAGAACATGCTGTAAGCTCTTCAGGGCAAGGGGCTGTCCTTTTGTTATGTGTCTGTTCAGGACCTAGTACAAGGAGGGCTTGGTCCATGGCTGGGGCTGCTAGGCACTACAGCAACACAAGTAAGTGATGATGATGATGGTAACTGCAAGCTGCCCTTGGATAAATACATTTATTCACCATACATTTTTCTCCTAGCAGAGAATTTGCCTCTCTATGTTCCTATTACATTTATCTCTATGTATGCAGTGTAGCTGTAGCCTTATCGGTCCCAGGATATTACAGAGACACGGTGGGTGAGGTAATCGCTTTTATTGGACCAACTTCTGTTGGTGAGAGAGACAAGCTTTCAAGCCACACAGAGCTCTTCTTCAGCTCTGGGAAAGGTTCTCCCAGTGTCACAATAAAATGCAAGGTGGAACAGATCGTTTAGCATAAGCAGTTACCAGATATGGTAAGGGACCATTCCAGGCTGCCAACTACTTATGCCAAACCAGTGATTCTCAAACTTTTGTACTGGTGACCCCTTTCACATAGCAAGCCTCTGAGTGTGACCCTCCCTTTATAAAATTAAAAACGCTTGTTTATATATTTAACACCATTATAAATGCTGGAGGCAAAGCAGGGTTTGGGGTGGAGGCTGGCAGCTCATGACCCCCCACATAATAGCCTCACAACCCACTGACTGGTCCCAACCCCCAGTTTGAGAATCCCTGTGCTAAACAATCAGTTCCACCTTGCATTTTGCTGTGTTTCTGGGAGCATAAGAAGGGCTCTGAGTAGCTTGAAAGCTTGTCGCTTACCAGCAGAAGTTGGTCCAATAAAAGATATTACCTTGCCTGCCTTGTCTCTCTCTGTGGCAGATATACTTTCTCTACTCCTGACTCAAATAAGTTTATTCATAACAGCTATATTTTAAGATACATAGACTCCTGCCATCGCATCCACGTAGAGTGGGGGAAGACAAATCCTTAGCAGTGACCATCCCACAAATGGCATCATAATTGCTGTGTGAACCGTCCTGACTGTAAAAGGGGGTAAATGGAGAGCAGCATAAGGAGGCTTTCGTTACACATGGATGCTTCCAGATCCATGAGCTTGCTTGCTGATCTGGCTAAAAGGATTCATAAGAAATATCATAAAGTGAACTTCATGAAAACTGTCAACCTTTTTTTCTCTTCTCAAAAATCTGTCCACAGGAGAGGAGGATAAGGGGCTGTTAGTTCATATCCACTATTACTGTGTGCCCTGACAGGGATCTGTTTTCAGCATCGAAGACTTAAATAACATTTCAAAAACTGACACAAAAATCAAATTGCACCTAGATATATTAATAGCTTTGGTTGGTTGAATATGGTGACATCTTTTCCTAAACTTAGGTTCTACAATTTTGGTATATGACATCAAGAGCTTATTTTTAGTTGCCACTTGAATTTTTCAGCTTAGTTTGACTCTAGATAGATGAAAGCAGGTATAGCATAAAGACTTAAAGTACTTGCCCGGCATATTCTATTCAGTTATTTGTCTGGTCTGTGTCTCTCTTGTGTAAGTGCAGTAAAAGCAAGACAGACGTGCCAGAATTCTCAGATGACTTGACTGAAAGTTTATCCATTCGCCTAGCCTAATAGGGGCTGAGATACACTAAAATGTTTATTCTGTTCCAGATGAGGTATGATAGTTCAAGCACTAATGTGTTTATACTGACACAAACAAGTTTGTTCAAGCAGTGCATAAGTTGACACTTCAGACGACCATATTTGCTGGGAATTACTTCTTCACAACCTTCTGTGCTATTATGTAATGGCCACCAAAATTCAGAGAAGGCCCATCATTTAGTACGGTCAAATTACAAAATGTTAATGGTGATTTTTTTTTTTAAACCTTTGGAAGGAGAGAGGAAATGTTGTTAGTGAAATAGTCATTGGGCTTGATTCTCATATACCACTCTGGCTGTGTAAAGGAGCCTTAAAGTGAGATAGTGGCATAAATGAAAATAGGTACCTTTGTGTTTTAAAAGATTCATATTTTGAATGCTCTGGAAGAACCAGATGTAAGGAGTTCAGAATTCAATAATTAGTGTTGCTGTGCTAGAGAACCTATGTGAAGATCTTAAAGAAGCACCAGCAGGGTTTCAGAAGCAATTTTGAGTGCTCCTGTCTTCTCCCTATCTGATATGTCTCTGTTTGGGAGAGGTTTTCTCGTCTACATATAGATCTATATGTCTAGACTTCAATACGTGTTTCGCTACAAGGTGCTTGGTTTCAGCTAGCAAATGCACATTTTGCTTGTTAATCTTCCCTGGATGTGCATTTAAGAGAAATAGACTCATTAACACAGCTGTGTGTGGATAACAAACAAGGTCAAAAGGCACAGTCCAATATTATATCATGAAGAATCATTTAATTAAAATGAAGGCCTATTCTTGCCATATATTATGACAGCATAGAAATGCCCAAGTTTAGATCACTGGTGCTAATGTTTTAGGTCAATACTATGATGAAGCCTTGCACACGCAAAAATGTATCTCAAAAGCCAAAAGTGGGAGTTTCAGCAGGAGGGCAAATTATATTTGAGTTCTTATGTGCCAAGTGCTATTGTGTCATGTGCAGTACTCTCCCGCATTGCCCAAGAAACAAAACTTTGTCTCTGTCATTCAATGGGTGTGTTCACTCATCTGGAAGAGATGTAGTGTCCACACTTCATTGTTTCAGGAAAAGGCCACATTGCCGATCCTACATGCGTGTAAAGGTTACTTTACAGTTGCTGTCTTACAGTGGTTCAACAGATCAGTGACTGTTCTCCTAGCTGACAAGTAATTATTGCAGTGATTGCGTGTGGTTATTTTTGTCCATTTCTGGGTACCCTTCATACTGAGAGGAGGTATGTGAACAAAGTTCAAAACTGTAGGCCAAATTCATTCCAGGTATAAGTATATTGACTTCACTTGGGTCACACAGGATAAATTTGACTCCATTGGAAACAGTGATTTTAGACACAGTTTCCTCATTTCCTGTCATATGTTTACTAAATGTGGAGTTATATCTGTGAAATAAAAGGGATTTGACATGCATGCATGATTTATTATCTTTCCATAAAACCAAACTAACTTGTGGCATGGAATAGTAAGACAGGCACAGGAAATGAACAGTAAGTAATAAAGTATTTCACAGTAATTTCATTTTGGTAGCATGGCACAAAAAGCTTCCTAGTTGCTTCCTTTTGAAAATGAACAATTTAGTGACCATCAGTACCACAGAGCAAAAATGCTAGGGAGTTATGTGATCTGTGGTTTATGTATATTTTTGGAAGCTATTATCTAAAATAATCCAGCATACAACATACTTTTGGATTAATTGTTGTTCCTCTGGTCTTCCTACATGAAATCCCATTAATCCTAGTTGAGATGAGATGCTCTCTATAAATTCAGGTGAGGAAGAACTAAAAGGTCACGGTTTGACAGTGGGAACTCAGCACCTCAAAAGCAAAAGAGAGCTAGTTAAGTATCTAGGATTAAACACTGAACATTAGCTGTGGGAGTGTAGTTCTGGAGCCCCCGATTACAGTTAGATGTGCAACGTGCAGATCCAAGAGGAAGACTGAGAATACAATTTGCTACTCTGCTCATGCATAGAAATCTGTAGGCAGTGCAGAGATCTGCCTGTTGATTTTCCCTCCCTGACAGGAGGATTTTGCTCTATTTATAGTTCCTTGAAAATATGTCTAATCCCAGCATATGTAACCTCCTTTTCAGCCAGTGACTGTATTGATCCATTTAATTTTTGAAAACCTACTATGTCCTTCTGTAGTCTCCTTTTTTTCAGTCTAGGAAGAAGGGGGAACATTAACTCATTAGACCACTAGAGGTCCTGTGTCTACTGTTTATGCTCCAGTTAGTTCAATAAAACAAGTGTTTATAAAAAAAAAAAAAAAAAAAAACAGGACTAGATCATAGGTGGTGGGTGCTGGAGAGGCTCATAATGGCATCTAGCAATTTTCTGAAGTGGAGCAATGCTCTGCCAATGGTCCACTGGTTCTTTGGTCACTAGCTGGATGTCTGTATATCTACCCACAGCATAAGAGCTTTCCTGTATCGCTATTCACGTCTTGTAGAACCTCTGGTCGGAATTCTTTCTTGTTCTGATTCAAGTGTTTCAACTAGAGAAGAGTTCTGATCAAAGCAGGCCACTGTAGGAAAGGACTAGCACTATGGGCACAGTAAGTTGTTCCCACACCATGAGAAGGGCAGTCATCTGATGGGAGCAACCTGAACATCAAAAAAGGGAAGCTGAATTGGGGGAAGAGAATGGATAGAACTGTGTAAAAGATGGAGACTAGAGAAAAATAGATGTCATGGTAGGGGGAGATGGAACACAGAAATAGAGTATGGGGAGAGGAGAAAAGGAGCGGGAGATCAAAGGGATGAAGGGGCCAAAAATCTACAGAGAGGGAAAGAGAAACAAGGGAAAAAGCAGGTGTAAAGAAACAAGAAGAGACAAACTGAAGCTGGAGTACAGAAAACAGTTCATGAAACAGGAGACTGAATCCATCTTGCCAGAAATAGCAAGGACCAAATTTTAAAATTGTTTGGGGTTGCTTTTTGTTATACATTGTTCTTACACTTTGATTTAATGATGGATGAAGGGGATACTTAATTTTTTTATATATATATATATATATATACATACACACACACATATAATAGTCTTCTGATAGTAATATTGGAGGATCTTAACTGCGTTTTCCTGCCTGGTATTAAGAATCTTTTGTACAGTGGCATTTAAATCAGACTAATGGATTCAGTGGTTAAGATGTCATATAACAGGCTAAGTTCAGCTATTTTGTTGGCCATTTTAAGGGGCTCGGTGAATTCCCCCCACCACCCTCCTTATTCTGATTAATTTTGCTGCTGCTCTTGTTCCAGAAGCAAAATAGCTATCAATGAGAGAGAGCTTCTTCCTAAATCATAAGTTGCTGAGGACCAACAGAGGCTAAAGTCTAAATATTACACTGATTGGGTCCTATAAATACCTAACAGATATATATTTTAATGTAATTAGTCACTCAATGTCTGCAACAGTTCTAGCTGTGCATACATAGCTTAGATTCTTGTTTCTGAAAGTCACCCAGCATGTCTCGTATGGCTATACTGATCATCATTTAATAAAATTAGTAATGATATTGCTATGATATTGAGTCGTCATACTCATGATATGATATTGAGCCATTAGAATGGTTTTGTGGTTGACTCAAATCTGAGTCAAATTCCTAGCTCTGCCATAGACTTCCTGTGTGATCTTGGGCAAGTCACTCAATCTCTCTGTGTGTCAATTCCCAAACTTAAAAACTAGGGAATAATACCACTTGCTTTTTTCCAACTTGTTTGTTTGACTTGTCAGTTTAGACCAGCAGATCTTTGGGAATGGAGTTCTCTTAATGTGTGGCCTGTACAGCATCTAGTACAGGGGGTCTCCAATCTCAGCTGGGGTTCTAATTGCTCCTGTAGTACTAATAATTGATAACAGAAATAGAAAGCATGTAAGTGAAAACAGAATTGAGGCAAAGATAAAGCAATGAGAAACAATTTTTCCTTCATAATCTTCTTAAAAAGAATGGTATTGGGATAGGGTAGGGGGTGAATTCAAGTGGTTAAAAAGTGATTTGATGTGCGGACATGTCCCCAAAAGCATACATATATCACTGACTCTGTTTTCCAAAGCTCGGTCCTCCACTAGCACACATTTATTGTTTGATCAAATGCCATTAAAAACAAACAAAACAAAGGTGTTTATTCCTATATGGATGTGCTGGGAGCATTTGTCACTTGCTGCTGATCTAAAAGGTACAGTAATAAGCACATTTTTGCTCTCTGTAATTATGGGCCCATCTTAATGAGCTTCACATTTACCACTAATCCTACATTCGCAAAAAGAAAAGGAGTACTTGTGGCACCTTGGAGACTAACCAATTTTCTGAGCATAAGCTTTCGTGAGCTACAGCTCACTTCATCGGATGCATACTGTGGAAATTGCAGCAGACATTAAATACACACAGAGACCATGAAACAATACCTCCTCCCACCCCACAGTCCTGCTGGTAATAGCTTATCTAAAGTGATCATCAAGTTGGGCCATTTCCAGCACAAATCCAGGTTTTCTCACTGTCCGCCCCCCCCCCCCCCCACAAACTCATTCTCCTGCTGGTAATAGCCCATCCAAAGTGACAACTGTCTTCACAATGTGTATGATAATCAAGGTGGGCCATTTCCTGCACAAATCCAGGTTCTCTCACTCCCTCACCCCCCTCCAAAAACCACACACACAAACTCACTCTCCTGCTGGTAATAGCTTATCCAAAGTGACCGATAAGCTATTACCAGCAGGAGAGTGAGTTTGTGGGGGGGGGGGTGAGAAAACCTGGATTTGTGCTGGAAATGGCCCAACTTGATGATCACTTTAGATAAGCTATTACCAGCAGGACAGTGGGGTGGGAGGAGGTATTGTTTCATGGTCTCTGTGTGTATTTAATGTCGTCTGCAGTTTCCACGGTATGCATCCGATGAAGTGAGCTGTAGCTCACGAAAGCTCATGCTCAAATAAATTGGTTAGTCTCTAAGGTGCCACAAGTACTCCTTTTCTTTTTGCGAATACAGACTAACACGGCTGTTACTCTGAAACCTAATCCTACATTGAGGAAATTCTATTCATAGCTTTCCTGCAGAACAAGAAATAAAGTTCTATTGGAACTCCTTGCCAGAGGATGTTGTGAAGGCCAAGACCATAACAGGGTTTTAAAAAAAAACTAGGTAAATTCATGGAGGATAAGTCCCTCAATGGCTATTAGCCAGGTTGGGCAGGAATGATGTCCCTAGCCTCTATTTGCCAGAAGCTGGGAATGAGCGACTGGAGAGGGATCACTTGATGATTACCTGTTCTGTTCATTCACTCTGGGGCACCTGGTGCTGGCCAGTCGGAAGACAGGATACTGGGCTAGATGGACCTTTGGTCTGACCCAGTAGGGCCGTTCTTATGTTCTAAAACATCCGAAGTAACGAATTTTAGAGCAGTGATCTACTACGTAGGCTATAACTTGTCTCTAGACATCTATGAAACACTGCAGAAGGAAAAATTAATGAGTATTTACAAAACTCTCCCCTAAATATTAATAAGGAATCAGACAATTAAACAAATAAAGAGATAGTTGCTGTTAACTGTAAGTCAAATGTAGAATATTACATCTGTTTAAAAACATTGTTTTCATTATATCACCAATACTTTTGTTGTTACTCAGCATTCTTGGACATCTACAAAATGTGTTATTACCCATGCAAGCTTTGGGATTATGTAGAGATGATAGCCACATTCTAACCTAATGTAAATCAGCATAACTCCATTGAAGCCAGTGGAGCTATATTAATTTACATCAGACAAGAATCTCACCTGATATAGCCATGGATGTATTTTTATAAAGAATCTAATAATACAGGGCAGCTAAGTGCTATAGCTCTGTTTGTTTGTGTTTGTGTATTATATACACAGTATAATAACTCAAATTTCTTGTTTATTTCTTAAATATAATTACTGTAACTTAGTTTGAGCAAATCCCTATCTTTGTATGAAAAGACAAAATATTTGGTTTTAAATAAAAACATTTAAAAGGAAAATAAAATGCTGTTACCTAAATGTCCCGAGACAAATGCCTCTTGCAGGCAAAATGAGAAGTACTACTGCTTCCTTCTGGAAACAACTCCTATAACAGAATTACATAGTCTTCAACTAGTTATATGATGCAAAGTTCACCATATGAACATCAAAGTGTTCCAGGAATAGAGTTCTAACAGTTCCCTGTTCACACATGGATGATGCATCCACATACAAATATCTGGGTATATTCTTGATGAATACATTGCACACACAACGTTAATGGAATTGCATGCAGGCACTCCCAAGAGTGTTGGGAGAATATACTTCTAAATACAAAATATACAGTAGAACTCTCTGGTATTCATGGATCTTATCCTAAAATGTAAACATGCATATATGAGGTATATATCGATAGAAATATAGTGCTACTCTTAGAACAGATATAGGTTTAGAATGTACTTAGTCCATTTTTGTGTTTTGCAGTCTCCTGACGTCCTAAAAAAATGATAGATTTCTCCCTCTTATTTAGGAAAATTCTTATCAGATTCCTAGACTCATACAGTCATGGTTCTTTGGATTTCTTAACAAAATAAATTAACATGAAAATACAAAAACAAATGTAAGAAGTGACAAAAAAAAGTTTCTGTTTACCAGACATGTCCCTTATTTTACTCATTTCCTTTAATAAAGTATTTTTGCTCTATATGTTCATTATAAAAGGGTCAGATTTTAAACAGCTAAAACTTTTCATGTGGGTTTTTTTTGTTTGTTTTGTACAGTGCCCAAACACTTGATGGATAGAAGGATACTTTTATTTATAAAAATTACTTTTGATGTTTGAGAATCTTAGCTGTATTTTCCTGCTAGGTATTAAGAATCTTTTGTGCCAATGTATTTCAATGAGACTAATGGATTCAGAAGCTAGTGTAGCCTAAAAAAAGGTTTTAAGTTCAGGTTATATTGGCCATCAGAAAAAAAAAAAGAAGCCTTAAAAAGATTTCAGAACTGAGACATAGTACATTAAAATTTGAATACTGCAAAATGACTAAGGATCAGCATTTTAACCCTTCTTTATAATCAAAATAGGGGTCTCTATCACAGGTTAATTTAAAAAATGTCTGTGCTATATAAGTGAATCTGTTTTTCTGACTTAAGAATAGGAAGGTGAACTTTCCTTATGTTGGGTTGCTAGTGGGCAACTAAACCAAAAGTAGAAACCCTCAAAACCAAAAAACAGTAATGTAAACTCTTGAATTAAAACTTACTTTTTGATGAGAACAGAAAAATTCGGTTTGAGTTTTAAAACAAAAGCAACAATAGCCAACAAAAACCTGAGTAGAGGTATGGGAGAAATCATTAAGACTTCTGGTGGTGTGATGTTTGCTTAACCCATTCCCCAAGGAAAATATAGCTTCATATTAAAAAGAAGCTGATGATTTTTAAAAACAAAACTACCATCCTGTTTTTTCCATTGCACTATTTTTTTGGCTTGGAACAGTCATGCCTAAAATCTCTCTACTTTTTAAAAAAACAGCTGTAAGGGTTGGGTTTTATTTTAAATAAGCATTTATAATACAGACTGCTAATTTTGCATAGAGCGGTTTAGTTTGGAAAACTAAAATATAATTGTAATAAGAAGAGATCCCTTACCTCTGCTGATGATTATTAGTGAATTATAGGATAATGTGTTCTGAGCTGTGGGAAACTTTGCCTGGACTTCTCTGGCAACTTGTCTGAGTCTGTCACCAAGTTTGTAGGAACAATTGAAGAAGGTGGAGAGAAAAAATAACAAAAGTTTGAGGCAGGGCTCATGATGTCATGCAGGAATTCAGAAGTTGTGATTGGTTACAACATGGCCTTCCAATACAGGAAAGTTGCTCATCTAAGCTCATTGTAGAAGTAATGTTAGCACTGGGGAAAGGGGTTTGTTTTGTTTTGTTTTGTTTTTGCCACATTCTTTAAGAAAGTGGACAGGAGGAAAGCAGTCTGCATGGCCATGAACTGAAGAACCTGAGCAGTGATATGATCCAGTGTTTGGAAATGTGGAGATGAGGCTGCATGCAAATATGTAGTATTTTTAGTAACTTATATAAGATTGTGATTAGTTAAGAAAACGCTAGAAAATTCTTCAAGATGGTGAATTTGCTACAACAATGGTGAAATATTTTCCCATAATAAAAATCCCCCTTTGAATATTTTGCTTTCATATTAATTCTTTTTTTTATGGGTCTTGAGCATCTTCACAAGCTTTGAACCATTTTCATTTGTTAAAAGGGGTTTACTAAGCTATGTGGTGTGTATCGCTTTTAGTATGGTTATGCAACTGATTGCTATCCTCTTTACGTCACAGTATGAGTATCCCTATTGTGTTCTCCAAAACTTTCCTTCCCCACCCCAGAGGAACTGATGCAGTTTGTGCTTCATTTCAAGATCTCCACACCCACAGACTTGATGTGGGGCAGGATTTTGCCCCAGATAAACTGAGATGCTTTTAGCTCTCTGCATATGCTTAAAATAGTTACTTCTCTTGCCCTTTACCTCAAACCAAATTATATTGTGGTCAGATATGATCATTTTTTATAAGAAAGCACAGAGCGGATTTGGAAATATAGTAAACAGAGGAAGATATGCTCCCTGCTCTATAAACCATGCAGCTTAAATAGAACACAAACCAGACACACAATAATGTGCTGAGAGAAGGATTCTGTCTTGCCGCATTTTTTTAAAAATATAGTGTTTGCATTACTTTTTTTGCACTGTTTTGATGAGCTTCTCTTGACTTTACCCTTAGTTAAGTGAAGTCAGATCCTGTAAAACTGTTACAATAACTTTAACACAACCAGAGCTTGAAGCTTTTATCCTAATATAGTAAATTGGGCAGTTTTTCTATTGCCCTTTAGTATCAGGAACAGAAAATTTAAGGTTACATATTTCAGTTGAAAGTTAATTGAATGTCTCCTCAGTGAATGGTGGTGGTTTTTTACTTGTGCTTAAGGCCTCATAATTCACTTGTAGTGGCAATGTTAGTATTCTGGATCTCTGATATCTCAGGAGAAATGTATTTGCCCTTTATAAAGGAAAGCATCCTATATTTATCACAGGATGCGGTCCTGCAAAAAGTTCATTTACCACTGATGGGTACATTATGGCGCTGCTCTTTTACTTGAGGCAAAATGAACCACTTTTAGCAAAAGTACTTTCTTTAACTTAGCTGCTTCAATTCTGACTTTAAAGTGAAATGTCCACTGTTAAAATGATTAGTGTTTGACTACAACACCCAGCATAACATTAACTATAATTTAAATCCATCCCTTGTACAGATGGGCATAGCAAAAGTGGTGTTTTGCACTTATTCATTCCCAGACTTTTAACTTGTCTTTGTTGATTTTGCTGCATTGGTCTGTTACTGCCACTTTAGGGGTGTGTCTGTGTATGCTTCATAAGGATTGTTTTTTTTCATATATGGTGTTGTGACATGTTGTTGGGAAGAAAAAAATTGCCTTCAATCTAGTAGTTTCATCTGTTTTATTAAAATTTGATACTTTTTTTGTGTTTAATTTATGACCAGGAAATAAATGAGAGAGTAGTACAAACAATTAAAAGGTGCCTTCAAAGGAATTTAATGAATCTCCTCTGTGTATTTCTAAAACCATTTTAGGACTCTCTAGTCCAGAACCATTTAAAATATCTGAATACGTAGTACAGTTTCAGACTAAGTGAATGCTATGAGTATATCCACTGTGAATCTTGTGTCGATCATACCGATTGTAGATCGATTGGTTTTAGATTAGACAAGTTGTCGCTGTAGAACTTTGTTAAATTTCAGTCTGAAATTTCCTTTTCTGTCACATGAAACCTGGAAGAAGGGGCTCAGTTATCTGTGTAGTCTTCTGAAAATATCTGAGGTGCTTCCTGCTGACCTACTAGTGCAGTAAGGCCACCAGTTGTACTTAAATGCATACTGCATTCTTCTGATTTAACTCTTCTGTGTCTGTATTACAAGGTGCTCAGCCACAAATGAACTAATTTGGGACATGAGAAAAGCAAAGGTTTAAAAAAGGAATATGTGTTGGAGGCTTTGGCGTGGCTTCGTTTTCTTCTCAGGAACAAAAATGTGCAGCTGCTGCTTGCCTGACCTTAAATGGAGAAGAGCTGGACTCTCTCCAGGGGGATTAGAAATCCACCCCCAGAGCATGTTTGTGCTCTTGTATTTAGCGATCCGGTTGCTCTATGGGATAATATCCAAAGAGCAGAGGCATTTTACACTTGGTGTAGCAGCTCCTTATTTAACTAATAATAAAAATTTCCTTGAGGTTATTTTGTCTTTTGTGTGTGTGTGTGTGTGTTTTTAAAATTCCAGATACAGACGTCAGTCACCTGTACTATCTTGGTAAAAACTCTGAGATGTTGGTGTTTGTTTTCTATAATCTATGGTGATGGATAGAAGTGAACTAAAATATATTTTATAACACAAGGGTAGTCTGGTTTTGTGGTTTTAAAGTAATCAGAGAAATTCAGCACTAAAACTGAATGCCAGTGCTGAGGCCTTCACACAGTTGTGCCACTTTTTAAATTTACCAAATATTATTAGACAAAAATGTATCTTTACTCTGCCTCTGTAAAAAGGGCATAATTGAGAGTCCAGATCTCTCCAGGATTTCAGTATAACGTGTTCAGTTGAAAAATAATAAATATATTTTTGTTTTTGTTTTTTTCCTAACTGTCAGTGATGCAAACTCACCTTGAGAACTGAGTCTGAGTTCCTTTGTTTTTGTGTCTTGTCACCAGTGTAACACATGATCGACAAAACAAATGCTGTTCTTGGTGATAACCTCACTGTTGTTTGTGTGTTTGCACAGGTGTCACTGATGGTAATTTAGGAAACACTTCTGTTGATATCTGGTGTTTTTTTACTTCGGTTAGTCCTGTAGTGCAAACGGTGATGAAAACTTTTTTTGTTACTGAACGTGGCAGATACGATTCTGAAAGCATAGAAAGAGCTAATTCTTCAACTGCTGTAAATCCGCCTAGTCCCATTAAAGCCAATGTCCGTATACAGATTTACACCAGCTGAAGATCTGGCCCAAAAGCAGATGTGGTAAGCAGGTGTCACTTTACTTAGTAGTTTAACAACAGAATTGCACTTTAAGACAGTTTCCTGTCTATGAATTTTTTTGCTTGATTTTGGTGGTGAGGTTTAAGAATACAGTCCTGACTTCAGTGGGTCTCATGTCAGTTTCTACTCCTTTTAACTGGGGGGGAGGGGGAGTTGTGGGGTGGAGAGGAGTGGGGTTCAGGTTTCGTTTGGTTTCGTTTAACTTAATGTATTAGTGAAGCATTTAGTGAAACATGCTCTAGCAACATAACCAGAGTTCACGCTTCAGGAATAACAAATAAGATCAAAGTTATGATGTTAACATATAATCCTACAGAGTCTGATTTTAGTGTTTTGTTTGTTTTTAATCACAAAAGCTATATAAATAGGTTGTACTCCATAGCCTGCAGGGTAATTTAATTAGTCATTTGCTTTGAAGATAATCAGCAGTATTCTGACTTTTCTTCCATTGCCCTTTACCACATCACTCCAGGATATTCTTTTTTTACCCTATCTCTTCCTTGTTCCCCTACCTCGTGCTGCTTTCAGACTATTGTTACAACACGCTGTATCCAAGTTAAAGGAGACAGAACAGTCACAGGGAGTCCTCTCTAAGAGAGTCACCTTTCCTGCTTCATAGATTTGGCTTACAGGGAATTGTGTGGAGTGTTGTGGAGGAGTCCTTCCTTCCTCACACCTGTGCCCTGAAGATCAAGGCCTGTCATCTTAGCATCACATTTATTGTCCTCTGGTAAAAAGGGTGAAAGTTCTTAATGATTTCATAAAATTGGAATGTCATTAAAGTGCTGGCTTCATTTTTATTTTTAGATGTTACTCTGTCATCGATAATAGCAAGGTAAAATGATACGTCTTTGGCTTTGTACCTGTTTTCTTAAGTATACATAAGCATATGGGTTTAAAATCTTATGGAATATAACTGAATAGAAAAGTCTCTCATCATCGGAGCTGCAGCATCACACATCTCTCTGGGACTTTTTTTCTCTTGGAATGCTAAAGGCTCTAACAGTATTGATTATCAGCTTTGTTACTAACAGAAGACCGTTTCTGAAAAGGTCAGCTTTAATGTTTACATTACCTTCAGTCTTATGGGCATGAACTTTTAACAACTGCAGTAGACTACAGTGTTAATAAGTATAATGGCACCTGTTATGTTCTTTGATACTTTGACCGATTGGTAGGATAGGGGAAGAGGATCAAAGAAGATTTTTGGCTGGGTCTTGTGGTATGTATTCATAGTGGTTTCCCAGACCTCCAAAACATACAATTTATTTTCCTTAGACAGTACATATTTGACACACATTGTACCCAGGTAATACCTTATTTTTACAATAAATGTTAGCACCATAAAAATCTGTATTCTGTAAAACATTTGGTTCCTTTTGTATCAACACATTTTTTGACTATTTAAGTCATGGTCAGTTTATTTAACTTGTAAATTAAGAGAACCATTACACCTGCCTCGCTGCCAGAAAGCAACATGATACAGCAGAGAAAAAGGAAAAAAGAGAATTGCTTCAGTGCTTTTGGTTAACCCAGTGCTTGGTTTTTTTTTAATAATTACAAAATCTTCAAATGCATTGTAATTTTGAAGTTTTAGGCCTCTCAGTTGATTAGCTTAGTTTATTTGCATGAAGTGATGTGCTGAGATACTTGTAACAAAGAAACCGTGTTGAGTGTCTTTCAGATAAACTGTTCCAGGAAGCACAGAGATTAGTTGTGTTGTTTGACATGGTATGAGTGATGGATGAACATAGGGACAAAGGCATATGAAGGAGAGATAAGACTTGAAGGCCATGTTTCATTTGCCAAGTGTGGTGGCACTGGATTATCTCCACTTTAACAGCAATTATAGAATGGAGGCC